TGGTGCGAACGGACTCGAACAGGGCGAAATGCTGGTCGTCTGGCATCTCTTGCACGTGCACGATCATACACTTGGCAAGGTTCAAGAGCAGGCCAGTGCAACGGCTGGACCTAATAACATTCTTCAGCACAATCGGAACAGCGAGCAACAGGTTGGATGCCGAGATCTGGATGTCATCTGCAAAGGCGCGAGGGGTAGCACAAACAGGAGCTAGCAAGTTAGATAATCGGCGCAGCAGCGGGTCGATGCATAACGCAAATAAAGCACCCGACAGCGGACATCCTTGTTTAATGCCTTGGGTGATCGAGTAGCCTGGAAACTTCTTTCCTGCTAGGCATATGTGTGTAAATACCGGTGTATAGGAACCGAATGGCATTCACGATATACATGGGTATGTTCATCATGATTAGCACATCTATGATCCAGTCGTGGCGCAGCGACGGGAACGCGGCGCGGAAATCCAAGAGGAGTAGCCCAGCGTGCGGCATGCCGCGATAGCAGGCGCATTCAAGAATGTCTGCCTCAAGGCAGAGCAAGTTGTCGAGCATAGACCTCTTGCGCACGAAACCCGTCTGGGAGCCTAAGACGCTGTACTGGCATTGTTGGCTAAATGGTTCGCATATGGCCAATGATACTATTTTGTTATCAGTGTTGCTGAGAGCAATAGGGCGCACCACAGACGCTTCCCGAGAGATCTCAGAGGTTCCAGCTTCGCGAGGGCAGATGGCCTTAGGGAGGTATACCGTGAGAGACTCGTTGAAGCCTTTATGCGGGGGCCCATATGTAGGATTGTCCAATATAGCGAGATAAACTTGATACAAGGCATTGTGAGCAGCGTCTCCAGCGAACCGCCAGGCACTGTAGGGAATTCCGTCAGGGCCAGTCGCGCTGTCCTTGCGGCTGACGAGCTTACCTATGAAGCTATGCAGGTCGAGCGTCCACTCGATACCTGGGGCAACCTGCTGAATCTCACTGCTCAACAGTGTCTTCTGGAAGTGGTATCCCCTGTCCTGAGGCTTCGCGGCATGGACCCGCCCCCAGTGGGACGCAAGGTTCTGAGCACTGACTTCGAGATCAGGCGAGGGGTTCCCGGTGGGGTCGGGGACCGAAACCAGAACGATTCGGCGCCTTTTGGGAGACCACTGTCGCAGAAGCTGGTGCAACCTGAGGCCTCGATCGTCGTCGGGGGCTCCGCCACCTTCGACGTGTTCGCGAATTTCTCGCTGAAGCAGAGAATGCTGGAGCTCGGCCATTTCCCGATAAAAAGACACAGAATCTCTAAAACAACATTCATCAGCATGAACATGTAGACTAAGATGAGGAATAGCCTGGATACACCTCCGAACGTCCCAAGACTTGCCATCCCGAACAGCCCGTAGAAACTTAGGGTAAACCGACAACTTTTGCGCATCATTGTTGGGGCCTCGGAAGAACATGCGAGTCATCATAGCATCCTTGGCAACATACATCGCGTCTTTGACGGACAGGAGGTATTCGAACGGGCCCCTGGGCATTTCAACCGAACTTATGGCAGCATCAACCTCAGAACCAAAACCAGGATGTTTGGCAATCCAGGAGGGGATCGTCGGGGTAGTTCTGCCGCCAGGCGAAAACTGAAGCCAAACAGGAATATGGTCGCTCGGCTGGGCGACATCGTGAGCAAGACCTATGACACCGCTTCTTGGTGTCGCATCAAGAATGTCGGTGGTGGCAGAAGATGTAGACCTATCCAGGCGACCAAGGCTGAGAGCACCGTCCTCCCTCCTCCCAGTCCGATGAGTGGGCTCCTGTTGGGCAACTTCAGCAAAGTGTCCGAAAGCCCGAGAAAACATGTGTAGAATAGCGGTCCTCTCAGGGGTGGGTTCCCTTCCGTCTGTGAACGTCCTCATCTCCCCCTCCTCCAAGAAGTTAAAATCGCCTCCCAAGATGACTGTGGCCTGATCAGCAGGCAGAGCGTGAGCAGCAACCGCGCGGATCACACGATCCTTCTCAACGTCGGAGAGGGTAGGGTCGAGGTGAAAGTTAATCAATTGCAGCGTGCCTTTCTCGCCTGTCAGTGTAACTGCTATGCATCGTCCATCGATAATGTTAACTACGTGGATGTCCTGAAAGAGCTGGAGCAAGGAAGGATCAATAGACATGGTAACGCCTCCCGCAGCCGCAGAAGAGCAAAAAGAGCCAAGGTGCGTGTGTGCTGGCACGTCACGATCCAGCGAGGAAAGATCTTCTTCGGTCCCGTGGGTTTCCTGCAAAAATACTACTTGAAAGCGTTGTACAAGACTTCTGAAAATCTGCTGTTTCCGATGCTGCCTCTGTGGATCGCCGTAAACACTGCCAAAAAATGCACGAGTATTCCAAGAAGCAAGACCCATAGCACGAGAAATAACAAATGGATGCCGCTGCTCAGCAAGAGCAGCTTCACCTCCCCCAGGAGAGTGTGGATCAGGAAGGTAGGGATCATGAATAGCTGGAGCATTCTCAGGAGGAAGAGAGTCAGGCGGTGTCGAGGTGGCCTCCCCCCGTTCTCGCAGCAGGGCTCGCAAACGTTCAGGATCGAATTCATCGTCACTATCGCTCCCAGATACTGGCTCACTCCGCCCCTATTCGCGGCGAAGCGCAGCAGTGACCAGCTCGGGCAGCTTGTCTACTTGCTCGTCGGTGAAGCCGTAGCGCTTCAAGTTGCCGCGGTTGGGCTCGACGTTCGGGTTGTCGGTCTCGAGGACATTCTGCAACACGACGAGCTCGTCAACGAGGTCGCCGTTGACCAAGAAGCAGAGGCCCATGTACTTGTTGCATCGGAGCTGCGAGTCAGGACGCCATGTGCCAGCGTCGGTCATGACCTGCTTGATGTGTTGCCAGACCTGGCCCAGCACCCAACCTTTCTTGCGGATGTCGATGGGTTCGTCGGTGCCGACCCGAAGCCGATGCCGAAAGCCACTGCCATCTCCCCATTCTAGCGTCATGGCACGCAGCTGCAACAGGGCATTCTTGGCGTCGTCGGCGTCTTCGAAGATGATGACGTAAGCGTACTTGCAGCTCTTGGTGATCGCGCTGCACTTGTCGCGGTAGGTGGGCGAGAGAAGTGTCTTCAGGAACTCGAAGTGCTTGTCGAATGCAGAAGCCATCAGCTTGACAGGGAACCCTCGCACCCAGAGCTTCCGCCTGTCAGCAGGCGCGGCGCTAGCTCCACGGGGCGTGGCCACGGTCCCCCATGTGCTGGCGATGCCAGACGCCGTCGAAGGTGGTCGTGAAATCGTAGCGACAGAGGTCTTCAGCTCCTCGAGTGCGGCATTGATGACGCTGATCTTCTGGTCGGTCTGAGCGCTAAGTAGTGAAACCGTCAGGCATGTGTCGACCATCTCGTCAGAGGCTTCGCCGCCCGTGATGTTGCTGTGGCGCTGCTGCAGGGCGATGATCTGGTTCTGCATGTGCTCGAATGTGATGTCCATCTCATTGCGCATGTCGGTCTTCATGCTCTCCATGTCTTTGGCGAGGCTGGCAAACTTAGCGTCGTGGGCATTGACGGTGGCTACGACGGTGGACATTGATGCCAGAAGCTGATCCATCTTGTGGTCCATGGAGAGAGTGGCGGCCATCGCGGCAGCCAGAACGTCCCAGAAGGTTGGATCTGACAGGGCTAATAGAAGCACCTCCACCGCGCACACCCTGAGGCTAAAATAACCTCGAGCCTGGCCCTCGGCAGCGACCAAGCACGAAGCGCCAGGCCGCACGTTTCGTGCTTGAGCCAAAATGGCTACGGAAATACTGATGATGATGCTGATGATGCTGATGATTGTGATGATGATGATGATGATGATGATGATGATGATGATGATGATGATGATGATGGTGATCGCGTTGATGACGAGGGCGCTAACAACGACGATGACGATGACCATGATGATGACGACGCTGGTGGTGATGACGACAACGATGGTGATGATGATGGTATTGGATGTGGTGATGGCCACGATGACGACTGTGGCAATGATGACGCTGGCGATGGTGATGACGATGGTGATGATAAGCATGACGAGGAAGCGCGCGTGTAAACAGCAAATATGACACATTTCTTGGTGGAAAACAACGGTTTCCCATACGCGTCTGAGCACTTCTACCCTGCAACGCGCTGGTAACCGACAGTTTTGCAGTGGTTCCGACATGCTCGCGCGGGGACACGCGTGTGTGGCTTGCATACTTTGTTTCACAAAGATGGCGGATGCGCGATGATTGATGGATGATTTTGGCATGCGCGCTTGTGGCCCGCATGGTCACACCGGGCAGAATGGCAAAAAGCTGTGGATTCCTCACGGGTTCAGCGAGTGCGTCCGACAAACATCTGTCATGCTTCAACAAACAAACAGTGTGGACATCTTGTGCGCAAAGGATAACTGCGTTTCAATATCAACATGTACGGCGCACGTGTGGCACGCATTGCGTTACGTGTTCATGGTCTCTACCAGTCGTACGTGTTAGATCAACGCGTGCGCACCGGAGTGTATCGCTTGACAGGAAATGGCAGCGGGGGTCATGGCTGCGCATGGCATGTGAATTCTGAGACCGAAAGCCGTTCATAATCAATACGCAGAAGCAAACTGACTGCGAACGAACCCCAGCCTCGAGGAAACAATGATTACAGAATGCACGGAAGTAACATACGTGCACGGTCTATGCGCTCATCCGTAAGCGCCTGGCAGCCAGCGTACGGTGCAGCCATGGGACGGCCACTGACGAGCGGCCACCAGGCGCGGAACCAGAAAGCCCAGCCAACACATAGGGCGGCCACGACGACCCAGCGAAAACCCGGGAAGCCGAACCAATCATGTCCAACCTGCATAATTAGAACCCTTCGTGCAAGCACAGCTTGGGGAAAGAGCTCTTGGAGGTCCGCGCAAATCTCTTGGGTCGGCGCGGCGCCAAGAGAATCCACCGTCGACTCAGGAGATCCGCGCCGCCGTACGAAAAGGTTGGGTGTGTGCAGCTTCTTGCCCTTTGAGCACCAGCTTCTCCCTGGGGAGCTGCAGGGGGTGCTTGTGCAACGGCCTGAGCTCCTTTGCGAAGCAAAGGCCCTCGACGACTATGAGCGCCTCGGGGTCCTTGCTCAGGACGGCGCGCCCTGCGCGCTCCGCCGCGGCCGCCCAATCCTGCGGAGTGCGCCGGCTGTTTTTGCTAGCACCGATCCTCGTCAGGCTCATCTCATCCCGGGCCCAGGGCTGGTGCACAGTATGCAAGCGATCTGAAACTTCGCTTGGCATATGAGCGACGATCAAAAACGGGTCTTGCGCGAGATGACGTAGCGACCTTACGCCGCGGCTTACGCGGGCTGCCGGCGCGGCACGCCACATTGGAGACGAGGGCGCTTACGCGCGACCTTACGCGGGCAGCTTACGCGCCAATGTCGGCGCAAGCGACCCCGTTTTTGCGTCGCTCATATGTACACTGTGAGTTGCCACAACAACATATCTTTGTCACCTCGCGTGTCATTCAACAAGTATACCCTAAGCCCTCGATACCCGCCCTCTTCGTCTTCGATCGCATCCGATTTGGGACATATCTTCCCTACAAGCCGCGTGCAGTTTGCGCAGCCGCTAAAACAGGAGAAGGAAGGGAGGAGGAAAAAGACAAGGGGGAGGGAAGAACATTGAGAACGAGAGAGATCTGTAGGAAGGATGGTGGAAAGCAGGAGCGCAAGCGGCAAAACCAGAGACGGGCAAATCGGGCGGGCGGACCCGAACGAGCAGGTCTGGCGTGCGGGCCCTGACGGCGGGTCGAGCGGACGGATCGCTGAAGCGCCAATCCAACATGAATCGCTTGGAAGTTTCCGGCGAAAGCGCGATTCCCAGGTAAATCGCGAGGAAATCCAAAGCGAGAGCGTGATTCCTGATTATAGGGGCCACGGCGCCGCAGCAATCTGTGAGGAAGTACCACGCGAGAACGCGACTCGTGCATTATATATATATATACATAGATATATACATATATATAATACACACCTATATATATATATATATATATACATACATACATACATACATACATACATACATACACACGAGAGAGCGTGATCCACCGCCGCTCTACTGTGGAAAATTCCCCCCCCTCTTCCTCCGGAACCCAGGGATCCCCCCCCCTCCGAAAATCCCTCCCCCCCCCTGCTGGACCCCCCCCTCCCCCCGCCCCCTCCGGAAAACTGGGAGGGGGTCACTACTGGTTCGAACCCACCCCCTCCGGAAAACCGGGGGGGTCACTACCGGTTCGAACCCCTCCCCCCCCTAGAAAACCAGGGGGGACCACTACCGGTTCGAATCCCTCCACCCCCCCCCTCCAGAAAACCGGGGGGGGTCACTACCGGTTCGAACCCCTCCCCCCCCCTCTAGAAAACCAGGGGGGGTCACTACCGGTTCGAACTCCCCCCCCCGCGCTCACCGCCGGCAAACGACTCCCGGGTGCCTACCACCGTCCGCACCACATGCCCCACTGCTGTCCCCAGCACCACTGTCCTCACCAACACTGTCCCCACTGTTCCCACCACCGTCCCCACTGTCCCCACCAGTGCCCCCACCACTGTCGCACTGTCCCCACTGTCCCCACCACTGTTCCCACCACGGTCCCACTCCCCCCACTTTCCCCACGGCGCCAACCACTGTCCCACTGTCCCCTCTTTCCCACTGTCCCCGCAACTGTCCCACTGAGCTGTACCCCAGGTCAATGATTGATAGCCCCAGAGCCTCAGAAAAGCCATAAAGGCCAAATTAGCCTGGCGAAGAACCTAACCAGACGCAGTTGTGAGCACCGCAATTGTAGGTATCGTCTTCCGTGGAGTTCCCTGCGGGGCCTCGAAGCGCTGTACTATGCAAACTGCGCCACTGGGACCTTTGGTGGAGTTTAATTGGGGGCCACGAAACGCTGTACTGGGCGGGAAAACCGCGTGCGGACACCGCCACGAAGGCTTTTTGGTAGAATTCCCTAGGGGGCCACGAAACGCTGTGCTGGGTGGGAAAACCGCGTGCAAACTGCGCCACTGGGACCTTCAGTTGAGCTCCCTCTGGGGCCACGAAACGCTGTACTGGGTGGGGGAACCGCATGCAAACTGCGCCAATGGGACATTCGGGGGAGCTCCCTCTGAGGCTACGAAACGATGTACTGGGCGAGTGAACCGCGCGCGAACTGCGCCACTGGGACCTTCTGTGGAGCTCCCTACGGGGCCTCGAAACGCTGTACTGGGTGGGGGAACTGCGCGTAAACTGTGCCACTGGGACCTTCGGTGGAGCTCCCTACGGGGCCGCGAAACGCTGTGCTGGGCACCAGGAAGGAGGGAGGAGGGAGGGGGCAGCAGGAGGAGTGAGAACGCGGGGCGCTTTCTTCTCAAGACAAGGAAAAGACACCACAGGATAATTCAGAAACACATGGAATTATTCACTGCGTGGAGCTCCCCATATGCGCATCTACTCGCATGGACATGTCCGCCGTGAATGTCTAGGCGCAAGAGTTTTCGAATATTAACGGGCTTAAGTTGTGACGGTCTGGACAACAATCTAACTGCGAATGAATTGGAGTGCGAATGAACCTCAGTAGTACAAGCGCGTCTCTGTGCATGAGCCTGGGGCCTCCTGGGGCCTCCTGAAACCTACTGGGGCTTCCTCGGGTCTCCAGGAGCCTCTTGGGACCTCCTGGGACCTCCTAGGAAGGTTTCGTGCCCCAGGAGAGGCGCAATCTACAGCAACAGACGTACATAAAACATTGCGGATTAGAGCCACAGGAGAAGGGCAATCTATAGGAACACGCGTAAAACACCAAGGACTCGTGCCCCAGGAGAGGCCCAATATATAGGAACATGAGTAAAACATTTAGGATTGTGCACACAGGAGAAGGACCATCTATAGAAACATACGTAGAACATCAAAGAATCGTGCTCCAGGTGAGGCCCAATCGATAGGAGCATACGTAAAACACATGGGATTGGAGCCACTCCTGTTGCCTTCTGAGGCCTCCTGCTCCTGGGGCCTCTCGGGGCCTCCTGTTGCCTTCCGAGGCCTCCTGGCGCTTCCTGTTGCCTCCTGGGGCCTCCTGTGGTTTCCTGAAGCCTTCTGGAGCTTCCTGGGGCCTCCTGGAGCCTCTTGGGACATCCTGTGGCCTCTTGAGTCTTTCTGTGGCCTCCTGATGCCTCCTGGGACCTCATGTGGTCTCCTGGGGCCTCCTGGAGCCTGTTGGAGCCTCCTGTGGCATCCTGAGAAGAATCTGCGCCCACGAGCCTGGCCACCAAAACAAGCAAACCGATCGAGACATCCTCAAAATCTGGCCCACCTGGGGAGTGAAAATGAGCGCCTCGCTCGAGACATCCTCCAAATCTGCTCCGAAAGCGAAGGATGTTGAGCCCAGAAACAAGCAAACCGCCTGAGACATCCCCACAAAATGGCCGCGAACGAGCCCGTGCAAACACCCCTGGCGGCTCCCCTTAGGGCCACGAGCCTGGCCACGAAAACAAGCAAACCGATCGAGACATCCTCAAAATCTGACCCACCTGGGGGGTGAAAATGAGCGCCTCGCCCGAGACATCCTCCAAATCTGCTCCGAAAGCGAAGGATGCTGGGCCCAGAAACAACCAAACCGCTTGAACATCCCCACAAAATGGCCGCGAACGAGCCCGTGCAAACACCCCTGGCGGCTCCCCTTAGGGCCACGAGCCTGGCCACGAAAACAAGCAAACCGATCGAGACATCCTCAAAATCTGGCCCACCTGGGTGGTGAAAATGAGCGCCTCGCTCGAGACATCCTCCAAATCTGCTCCGAAAGCGAAGGATGTTGGGCCCAGAAACAAGCAAACCGCCTGAGACATCCCCACAAAATGGCCGCGAACGAGCCCGTGCAAACACCCCTGGCGGCTCCCCTTAGGGGTGCTGAAACCAGCGCCCCGCCTGAGACATCCTCGCAATCTGCTCTCCAAGCGAAGGATGTTGGGCCCAGAAACAAGCAAACCGCCTGAGACATCCCCACAAAATGGCCGCGACCGAGCCCGTGCAACCACCCCTGGCGGCTCCCCTTAGGGGTGCTGAAACCAGCGCCCCGCCTGAGACATCCTCACAATCTGCTCTCCAAGCGAAGTCTGAGTATGACTAATACTGTGTATGAGTAAGTCTGGGTATGAGTGAGTCTGTGTATGAGTACGTATGGGTGTGAGTAAGTCTGTGTATGAGTAAGTCTGTGTATGAGTATGTCTGAGTGTGAGTAAGTCTGAGTATGAGTAGGTCTGAGTATGAGTAAGTCTGAGTATGAGTTGAGCAAGTCTGAGTATGAGTAAGTCCAACAGGAGGGGAGGAGGAAAGAGGAGGAGGAAGGAGGAGAGGGAGTAGGAGGCGCCCAAGTAATAATTATTCACTGCGTGGAGCTCCCCATATGTGCATCTACTCGCATGGACCTGTCCGCCGTGAATGTCTAGGCGCAAGAACTTTCGAATATTAACGGGCTTCAGTTGTGACGGTCTGGGCATCAATCTAACTGCGAATGAATTGGAGTGTGAATGAGCCTCAGTAGTACAAGCGCGTCTCTGTGCATGAGCCTAGGGCCTCCTGGGGCCTCCTGAAACCTACTGGGGCTTCCTGGGGTCTCCAGGAGCCTCTTGGGACCTCCTGGGGCCTCATAGGAAGGTTTCGTGCCCCAGGAGAGGCGCAATCTATAGCAACAGACGTACATAAAACATTGCGGATTAGAGCCACAGGAGAAGAGCAATATATAGGAACACGCGTAAAACACCAAGGACTCGTGCCCCAGGGGAGGCCCAATATATCGGAACATGAGTAAAACAGTTAGGATTGTGTACACAGGAGAAGGACCATCTATAGAAACATACGTAGAACATCAAAGAATCGTGCTCCAGGTAAGGCCCAATCGATAGGAGCATACGTAAAACACATGGGATTGGAGCCACTCCTGTTGCCTTCTGAGGCCTCCTGCTCCTGGGGCCTCTCGGGGCCTCCTGCTGCCTTCCGAGGCCTCCTGGCGCTTCCTGTTGCCTCCTGGGGCCTCCTGTGGTTTCCTGAAGCCTTCTGGAGCTTCCTGGGGCATCCTGGAGCCTCTTGGGACATCCTGTGGCCTCTTAATTTTTTCTGTGGCCTCCTGATGCCTCCTGGGACATCATGTGGTCTCCTGGTGCCTCCTGGAGCCTGTTGGAGCCTCCTGTGGCATCCTGAGAAGAATCCGCGCCCACGAGCCTGGCCACCAAAACAAGCAAACCGATCGAGACATCCTCAAAATCTGGCCCACCTGGGGGGTGGAAATGAGCGCCTCGCTCGAGACATCCTCCAAATCTGCTCCGAAAGCGAAGGATGTTGAGCCCAGAAACAAGCAAACCGCCTGAGACATCCCCACAAAATGGCCGCGAACGAGCCCGTGCAACCACCCCTGGCGGCTCCCCTTAGGGCCACGAGCCTGGCCACGAAAACAATCAAACCGATCGAGACATCATCAAAATCTGGCCCACCTGGGGTGTGAAAATGAGCGCCTCGCTCGAGACATCCTCCAAATCTGCTCCGAAAGCGAAGGATGTTGGGCCCAGAAACAAACAAACCGCCTGAGACATCCCCACAAAATGGCCGCGAACGAGCCCGTGCAAACACCCCTGGCGGCTCCCCTTAGGGCCACGAGCCTGGCCACCAAAACAAGCAAACCGATCGAGACATCCTCAACATCTGGCCCACCTGGGAGTGAAAATGAGCGCCTCGCTCGAGACATCCTCCAAAGCTGTTCCGAAAGCGAAGGATGCTGGGCCCAGAAACAAGCAAACAGCCTGAGACATCCCCACAAAATGGCCGCGAACGAGCCCGTGCAAACACCCCTGGCGGCTCCCCTTAGGGGTGCTGAAACCAGCGCCCCGCCTGAGACATCCTCACAATCTGCTCTCCAAGCGAAGGATGTTGGGCCCAGAAACAAGCAAACCGCCTGAGACATCCCCACAAAATGGCCGCGAACGAGCCCGTGCAAACACCCCTGGCGGCTCCCCTTAGGGGTGCTGAAACCAGCGCCCCGCCTGAGACATCCTCACAATCTGCTCTCCAAGCGAAGTCTGAGTATGACTAATACTGTGTATGAGTAAGTCTGGGTATGAGTGAGTCTGTGTATGAGTACGTCTGGGTGTGAGTAAGTCTGTGTATGAGTAAGTCTGTGTATGAGTATGTCTGAGTGTGAGTAAGTCTGAGTATGAGTAGGTCTGAGTATGAGTAAGTCTGAGTATGAGTAAGCCTGTGTATGAGTAAGTCTGAGTATGGGGCAAGTCTGAGTATGAGTAAGTCCAACAGGAGGGGAGGAGGAAAGAGGAGGAGGAAGGAGGAGAGGGAGTAGGAGGCGTCCAAGTAATAATTATTCACTGCGTGGAGCTCCCCATATGTGCATCTACTCGCATGGACCTGTCCGCCGTGAATGTCTAGGCGCAAGAGCTTTCGAATATTAACGGGCTTCAGTTGTGACGGTCTGGACATCAATCTAACTGCGAATGAATTGGAGTGTGAATGAGCCTCAGTAGTACGAGCGCGTCTCTGTGCATGAGCCTGGGGCCTCCTGGGGCCTCCTGAAACCTACTGGGGCTTCCTGGGGTCTCCAGGAGCCTCTTGGGACCTCCTGGGACCTCCTAGGAAGGTTTCGTGCCCCAGGAGAGGCGCAATCTATAGCAACAGACGTACATAAAACATTGCGGATTAGAGCCACAGGAGAAGGGCAATCTATAGGAACACGCGTAAAACACCAAGGACTCGTGCCCCAGGAGAGGCCCAATACATAGGAACATGAGTAAAACATTTAGGATTGTGTACACAGGAGAAGGACCATCTATAGAAACATACGTAGAACATCAAAGAATCGTGCTCCAGGTGAGGCCCAATCGATAGGAGCATACGTAAAACACATGGGATTGGAGCCACTCCTGTTGCCTTCTGAGGCCTCCTGCTCCTGGGGCCTCTCGGGGCCTCCTGTTGCCTTCCGAGGCCTCCTGGCGCTTCCTGTTGCCTCCTGGGGCCTCCTGTGGTTTCCCGAGGCCTTCTGGAGCTTCCTGGGGCCTCCTGGAGCCTCTTGGGACATCCTGTGGCCTCTTGAGTCTTTCTGTGGCCTCCTGATGCCTCCTGGGACCTCATGTGGTCTCCTGGGGCCTCCTGGAGCCTGTTGGAGCCTCCTGTGGCATCCTGAGAAGAATCTGCGCCCACGAGCCTGGCCACCAAAACAAGCAAACCGATCGAGACATCCTCAAAATCTGGCCCACCTGGGGGGTGAAAATGAGCGCCTCGCTCGAGACATCCTCCAAATCTGCTCCGAAAGCGAAGGATGTTGGGCCCAGAAACAAGCAAACCGCCTGAGACATCCCCACAAAATGGCCGCGAACGAGCCCGTGCAACCACCCCTGGCGGCTCCCCTTAGGGGTGCTGAAATGAGCGCCTCGCTCGAGACATCCTCCAAATCTGCTCCGAAAGCGAAGGATGTTGGGCACAGAAACAGGCAAACCGCCTGAGACATCCCCACAAAATGGCCGCGAACGAGCCCGTGCAACCACCCCTGGCGGCTCCCCTTAGGGGTGCTGAAATGAGCGCCTCGCTCGAGACATCCTCCAAATCTGCTCCGAAAGCGAAGGATGTTGGGCCCAGAAACAAGCAAACCGCCTGAGACATCCCCACAAAATGGCCGCGAACGAGCCCGTGCAAACACCCCTGGCGGCTCCCCTTAGAGGTGCTGAAATGAGCGCCTCGCTCGAGACATCCTCCAAATCTGCTCCGAAAGCGAAGGATGTTGGGCCCAGAAACAGGCAAACCGCCTGAGACATCCCCACAAAATGGCCGCGAACGAGCCCGTGCAACCACCCCTGGCGGCTCCCCTTAGGGGTGCTGAAATGAGCGCCTCGCTCGAGACATCCTCCAAATCTGCTCCGAAAGCGAAGGATGTTGGGCCCAGAAACAAGCAAACCGCCTGAGACATCCCCACAAAATGGCCGCGAACGAGCCCGTGCAAACACCCCTGGCGGCTCCCCTTAGGGGTGCTGAAACCAGCGCCCCGCCTGAGACATCCTCACAATCTGCTCTCCAAGCGAAGTCTGAGTATGACTAATACTGTGTATGAGTAAGTCTGGGTATGAGTGAGTCTGTGTATGAGTACGTCTGGGTGTGAGTAAGTCTGTGTATGAGTAAGTCTGTGTATGAGTATGTCTGAGTGTGAGTAAGTCTGAGTATGAGTAGGTCTGAGTATGAGTAAGTCTGAGTATGAGTAGGTCTGAGCATGAGGAAAGAGGAGGAGGGGAGGAGGAAGGAGGAGGGAGGAGAAGGAGTAGGAGGCGTCCAAGTAATAACAAGAACCCCATCTTAGGATATGGGGAACAAGAACCCCATCTTAGGATATGGGGAAAAACGCCAAGAGTCAGAAAAACCATTCCTCCGAATGTCCGAGCTTGGCGCTCCCCGACGTCCGTCTCTGGGTCGCCTGTTCCCCACGTCAGGTGCACGCCCCCGTAGTCGTGCGGCTCGTTGCGGATCTCGGGAGCGCGCCGCCCCCGGGCCGCGGACCACTCCGCGGGCCGGCCCAGATCTCGCCGTGCCCGGACCTCCGACCGCTCGAGATGCCTGCTCCGGCCGATGGCCCCCGCAGGAGTGCGCCGACTATCCGCGTGCGCGCGGGGGCCCCGGATGCTCGCGGTCGGCGTGGCTCGCAGGGGCGGGAGCGAGGAGCGCGAGGCGTTGGGGCTGCTCGGCCAAGGCCGGCGCGCTCCCCCGACGCGGCCGCCGCGGCGGCTCGCCTCGGTTCAAAAGTCTTCCTGTTCCACGGAGCGCGGCCCCATCGCGTGCTGTCACAGACAGCACAGCGGGAGGATTCGCACTGCCACTACAAGTTGCCCCGACATCTCACCTTGGTCCAAATTTGGGTCGGATGCTGGCTGACGCCCACGCACACAAGACCCTGGCCAGGCCCAGGATGGGCCTGGCCAGGGTTGGCGCACTATGTATATAGCCATCGTCGACCGGCCCTGGACCTCTCGACCCCTCCCCCGGGGTTTGGCGGCCCCTGGGGGGCTCACGCGGAGGGTTCCGAACGCCCGGAACCCCCCTTTCGGTCCTCGCAGGCGCGAGGCGCTCTCTGGAACGCCTCACGCAGAAGCCGCCAGCGCACGCCGCAGATCACACACAAAAAAAAACGAGGAAACCGCCGAACGGCGGCGCAGTCCCTCCGTGCCGCCAGGAGTCTGGGCCTGGCCCCGCTTCTGCCCCGGACGGCCCCTCCCGCCCCGGGGCTCGGAGAGGCCCCGCCACACACGAGGGCCCGACGGGCCGGGACCCCAAGCCCGAGCGATCGACAGGCCGGACAGCGAGCCACGAGCAGCGGGCAGAGCCCCCTCCGCGTGCTCGCGGGCCGAACTCCCGGGTGCGACCCCGCGGAGGGGCGAGCGCACGGGCGCGCTCCGCGCGGGGCACAGCCGCGGGCCGGGCCGCGGGGCCGCAGGGGCGGGGACGTCTTCCGCCCGGGAGCACGGGCAGGAGGAGGCCCAAATCGGGCTCGAGGACACGGCGGGTTCCGAAACCGGAAAGCCTTGCCATCTCTCGGGCCAAATCGGGCTCGAGGACCGGAAAGCCTTGCCATCTCTCGGGCCAAATCGGGCTCGAGGACCGGAAAGCCTTGCCATCTCTCGGGCCAAACCGGGCAGGATGAGGCCAAATCGGGCTCGAGGACCGGAAAGCCTTGCTATCTCTCGGGGTGCCGGATTTTACTCCTCTGGCTTCCGCAAGCCTTCCGCCGGCTTCCGCTGGCGCAGGCGGCCTCGCCGTGCTTACGCCGCCATCCGCCAGCCTTCCGCCGCCTTCTGTTGGAGGCCCCGGAACTAGGCACCGACACCCACGCAGGGGGCTGCCTCCACAGGGCCAGATTTCGGTGTTGGTGGTAATACTTCGGCCACCTTGGAAGCCCAGAACATTACCACCATCACCAAGGTCGGAATATTCTTCCCTCGGTGGAGGCGCACCGCCGATATTGGTGTTGGTGTCAACCTCCAGGCCTGCGATTCTGTCGAGGGAGAGTGACAACTGCTTGGCCCCTCGAAGGCGAGGTCGTTTCTGCAACGCCCGCCTCTCACAGATAATCTCTGTAAGGCGGCCTGCGGGACGCATCGGGCCTCGAGGCCGTCTGGGAGCGCTCCATGGCGCTCTCGGAGCGTTCCAGGTTGCTACGTCCTCATCCTGGGCCCGGCTGACATCCCCACCCCCATAAATCGACAAATCTGCGAGATCATCGGCTGGATCGAGCCACGATCACCATAGATCCCCGACGTCGTGAGTCGTTCACAACATGGACCCCCGAGGTCTCGACCCCTTGCCCTGGGCCTGTTTTTCATCCCGAGCCGTTGTCTGACGCTCGCAAGGCCTGGTGAGGACCTCCAAACCGAAAACTGAAGAGAACACCAGCAAAAACTCCGTCGTGCTTTTCCCTCACGCGAGGGGGCAGAATCGGGGGGTCCACAAAGCAGCCCCTGAGCCTCTCCTGGGGTGCGGCCTGGCTAGAATTGCGAGGGGAATCTGGCCGTGGCGACGAAACGCCCCCAGGAGCCCGAACGGCACCAAAAAAAACTCTCAAAAGTCGCACATTCGAGCCACGATCGAAGCGCCATGGTCTTCCAGGCCGCGCGCGTCGTAGCCAACCACGAACTTGCTGTCGACGTAGCGCTCGGCGAGAATCTCGAGGCTCCTGCGACGCGGAGGCGAAGGAAGAGGAGGAGGAGGCGGAGGAGGAGGCGGAGGAGGAGGCGGAGAGAGCCACGGAAGCGGAGGAGGAGGAAAGGCCGGAGAGGGCCGTGGTCATAGAGGATGGAGGAGGAGGGGGAAGTAGCGGGAGGATGAGGAGGTGGGCAAGACGAGTCAGGAGCAGTCGCGAGCCACGTGGCAGCAGCGACGGGCCGGCAGCGGATGGCATCTCTCTGGCGCAGCGTGCGCCCACAAGGGGCAACCGCTGGAAGGGCGCCCGTCCTTGGCCGAAGGCGGGACGGGTCAAGGGGAAACCGTGCCGCGCGCGAGCGGCACGCCGAGATGGACTGGAGATGCGTGCGAGGGAGCGAACGAAAGAGCGCCGGAGTCGCGGGCGCCCCGCTGGGAAGCCCCACCGTGCTCATCAGGGCATGGCTTGGAGGAACCGTCGCTTCGGCGAGGCGCGCCTGGCGAGACACGGCTCACCTGGCATGGTCCGTGGTCTTGTCCACCTTGGGGCGGAGGAGCGGACCAGGTCGCTACGCCAGCCCGCACGCAAGGCAAGGCAACATGTCAGGATCAGACCAGATCCGCTGGGGTCTCGTCGAATTCGGACGTCCGTCGCTGCGCCCACATCCGCCGCCTGAAGCATGTGCAGGTGTCAGGCGAGCTAAGTAATGCAGAAAAGGGGCCCAACAAAAATATCACACCCACCCACACCCACACACATCACACATACACACTCACACCCACACGCACAGAAAAAGGTCCTCCCACGCGCGGCTGAGCCCAAACCACGGGAGCGACGCAACGGGATACAACAGCATCGAATTGGCTTACTTATGACATCACACACACACAACTGTTGTGTGGTGAGATTATGTGGCAACGCTCACTACGGTCTCTCTGCACTGGGTGGGCGAAGTTGGCTGGGGTGGAGCAGTCTGCTGGATGCTGGCTGGGCAGGCTGGAGCAGAATGAGACGCACGGCGGTCTCCATCCGCTGGCTGCGCATATTGGCGTCGCTTCTGCAACTGGTCAAGAGTGGAGGGGGGTGCCAGCACCGTCCCGGAACTCCGACGCCGTGATTTTATTCGCAACGTGGACCGCTTGAAGTCTAGACCCCTTCTCCGGAACCCGCTGTTCATCCCGAGTTGTGTTTGACAGTCCCGCGGCCCTGTGGGGGCCCCCGGAGGCCGAAAATGGCCAAAAAGCTCCCGTCGCGACCTCTTCGCAACGAGACGAAGGGAGGGGCTGTCGCCTCCGAGCTCCCGCACCAGTCTCCTCCGCCAGCCGCGCGCGAAGCGCCGCGGCCTCCTTGTCCTCTGCCAGGTCGTCGACGCAGGGGGGCAAGGGGAAGGGAACAGAGGAGGAGGAGGAAAAGGAGGAAGAGGAGGATGAAACGTGGCAGCATCCGACGTGTCCTCGTGCAATCAGTCCCCAGTCACCAGGGGGTCCTCATCTGCCGCATCATCATCCTCATCCTCTTCCTCCTCCTTCTCGTCATCAACACCATCACATCATCATCACTATCATCATCACCACCATCACCATCATACTCGTCATCACCATCATCATCAACATCATCATCATCATCATCATCGTCATCATCATCATCATCATCATCATCATAATCATCATCATCATCAGCACCATCATCACGAGCATAATCAGCATTACCACCAACAACATCAACAACAGCCACAGCAACAACAACAGCAACGACAACAACGACAACAACCACATAAACAACAGCAACAACAACAACTATCACTTTAAGACGGTTCGAACTTATCTGATCGCGTGCCATTCAACACGTAAATCCCACACCATATGTACCTGCCCTCTTCGTCTTCAA